GTTTATTGGATATCATTAAGCTGGTGACGGATGGATATTGTATATTTGCATAGTTTCTGGTGTTTGTAGCAATAACATGTCCCATCAGGAGGGGGGGGGGGGGGGCAGTGAAAGGTATATTTTTATATGAATCAGCTGCTGAAAACACACTGAATATTCAGGACTAAAAGATGAAATCTGCAGCTCCACTCCCGAGTATTTAGAGGAAGTATATATGTATATCCTTATTTAATGTTCTGCTATTTTCCTATGACTGTGCACTGTGTCCCTCAGAGCTTCTTCATGTCTTCAATGAGTTCTATGTTTTATACTCTGTTCTGTGGACTGTGGTCTTCTTGTTGGCTCTGCTGATATTTTATAACATCCCTTATCTGCTCGTCACACACTTTTACAAACTTTATATCTTCCTCCGTCACGTGGTTTCTGTCCTCTTGGATGTTGTTGCTCTTCTTTGTTTTTCTATTCTTATCTTCAGTTGTTTTCAGCCTGAGTTCAGATCGTGCTCTTTCACAAGAAAAGATATTTAAAGCTTTTGAATAAAAAATATGAAACGGGTCAAACTTGGTTCTCCTCAGCGTCTCTTCTTCTGTTTCAAGTATGATCCTTTCCTGAGTACTGCACTGACGCTCCCTACAGTCTGAGAACAGAGAGGGAGGGGCTGCACCTGAGAGAGGGGGAGGGGCTTCACCTGAGAGAGGGGGAGGGGCTTCACCTGAGAGAGGGGGAGGGGCTTCACCTGAGAGAGGGGGAGGGGCTTCACCTGAGAGAGGGGGAGGGGCTTCACCTGAGAGAGGGGGAGGGGCTTCACCTGAGAGAGAGGGAGAGGCTGCAAACCCTCAGGACGCTATCAGCTCCTGATTAGTGAACGAGATCACCTGAGAGAGGGGGAGGGGCTTCACCTGAGAGAGGGGGAGGGGCTTCACCTGAGAGAGGGGGAGGGGCTTCACCTGAGAGAGGGGGAGGGGCTTCACCTGAGAGAGAGGGAGAGGCTGCAGACCCTCAGGACGCTATCAGCTCCTGATTAGTGAACGAGATCACCTGAGAGAGGGGGAGGGGCTTCACCTGAGAGAGGGGGAGGGGCTTCACCTGAGAGAGAGGGAGAGGCTGCAGACCCTCAGGACGCTATCAGCTCCTGATTAGTGAACGAGATCACCTGAGAGAGGGGGAGGGGCTTCACCTGAGAGAGGGGATCACCTGAGGGAGAGGGAGGGGCTGCACCTGAGAGAGGGGGAGGGGCTTCACCTGAGGGAGAGGGAGGGGCTTCACCTGAGAGAGAGGGAGGGGCTGCACCTGGGGGAGAGGATCACCTGAGGGAGGGGATCAGGAGACACACAACACGTGACACACACTACACTAACATTACTGTGTCCTTTATTCAGACTCCTGCAACAAAGAAAATAAGAAAGATTTGCAAAATAACGACAAAGTAAAGTGTGTTGAAGAATAAATCAACAACAGTAAAGTATGTCTGCAGCATCAGCCTGTCTCTCACCTGGACCCGCTGGCGAGGAGCAGGGTTAGTAAACACAACGGATGAATGCTTTGGTGAGTGTGTCGGCGGCTAAACATTGAACCAGTTGAGCCCTGAGCCTGTTGTCAGGTCTCAGGCTCGAGAAGGACATGCCCAGAACAAATGACTATAACTTCACTTCTAAAAGGGGAAAATTAATAATCTTTTTTCTCAAAGCAATGATACACCTGTGAGTTGGATGTAGAAAAGTCAGAATCAATATAGAATTTTTTTATTTTAAAGTAAATTCAGATTGAACATAGTAAAAAAATGCAAATCATAGAGTCCGTCCAAAAATAAAACATTACTTATTCATTCATTTTTCATTTAATGGTTTATTTGAACAGGGACAGTGCACATTCATGAACATTTCTAACAATTAATGCTTCAAAATTTAAATATGCCGGATTTTAGCTTTTAGCTAATTTCATAGTCCATGTAAACATTTATAAAAAAAACACATACTTTTAAAATACTTTCAATTGTCAAAACTCAAGAAATGGTGTTTCTCTAGATGGTGCAGTGGTGGCATGAATGTGTCTTTCTGTCAAACACCTTGATAGCTCTCTCTCACAGCTGTTCTATGGGTTTCAGGTTTGAGGCACAAGCAAACGACCAGTTTGTCAAACAGTATTCAATGTGGGATAGAATCACACAGTGGAGGTATCACCTGGATACCTGACAATAATCATCACCTGGATACCTGACAATAATCATCACCTGGATACCTGACAATAATCATCACCTGGATACCTGACAATAATCATCACCTGGATACCTGAGGATAATCATCACCTGGATACCTGACAATAATCATCACCTGGATACCTGACATGGTTAAACCAGGACATGGTAAACCATAGACCCCAGCACGTGCACTCTGCATCAGCCAAACGGCTCGCTGCACCCTCACTGCAAGGGGGACCCAAGTTCCCTTCAGTAAAAACACGTCGGTTTGCTATCCTGTTCGACTCCACTTCGAGCAATAAC